TTTATTGAATCAGTGATTACGAATTAGTTGATTCGACGATTGCGATTCAGTGGTCACACGAGCGCAGCTCGAATTATCATAAATGTTTACAATCGACACCGAGCCCAAGCGCAGCCTACGCTTCTGCATTACTTTTTTCAACAGTACTTTAATTAGGTGCTACGCGCATCGCGAGTACGTATCAAGCGTTATCTCAATATATTACCCTCTAAACTGGCGCCTCTATTTACTCGTGCCTATAGCAAGCAATTATTGATTTTAGAATAACGTTCGCAAGGAGAATTATCCTAAACAACACATTCGTAGCAGCATCTCGCGTGGGAGAAATCGCGTGGTGTAAACGGCCCTCCAGCCCTCCTCCCCCCCCCTCTCCGTCCCAAGCTCGCGAAATTACTACTCGCGATTCGTTGTGCTCGAAATTGTTCCTCGCGCCGCGCGATTGTTCCTCGCTCCTGTTTGCCGTCGCGTGCGTCCCGAGGATCGCACAATTGGATATCACAATGCCTTCTCGTCCGTGTGCGTTTTCGCGCTCCGCCGGGCGCCGCAGACCTCGACGTTCCCCGCGAAATGATTGTCGGCAATGATCGATAATCACCTGAAACCGTTCCCCCGGGAAAAAAAAAAGAACGAATTCTCAATGATTTTCGCGTTTGATTTGATTTGCTCGGTGGACTCTTCCCCGCGCGCCGGTGGATCGCCGGTAGGTCGGTGCGCGAATTTACGATCATCCACGATGGCATTCTGGAACGATCGACGATCCCGATCGGCGATGCGCGATCGACTATCGTCGACGATCCAATTTGCGCGTCTGCCTGATGAGATACACTGTCGCTGCCTCGCATCTAAGCAGTTCATCAGTGGACGTGTGTACGTGTGTGTGCGCCCCCAGTGTGCGTGTGTGCGTCGCGTGTGTCTCCGTGTGCGTGCTGTGACACTGTTTAGCCGATGACACTGTTCACTCTGTGTACCAAACAGATCGCTGTAGGATGTACTTAAGTCCCACGCCACGCGAACGTTTACTCGTTTATATATATATATATGTGTTTACATATTTATCTGAGTATTTAGTCGGAATACTTCGACGTTATTCATCACCTTTGTGTATCGTCTCCTGCGTCGTACGAACGATTACATATCATTCTGTCAGCTTCCGTACAGCTTCGTTAAAGTGAGGCAAGGGGAGCGGGCTGTTTGGAGAACGGGGATGTTTGTCGAGACCTCCGGCGACTGCAACTTAACGTCTGCGCCCTGTCGAAATTATCTTTGCTGAACGCGCGAATTTTTATGTCGCGACGATACTGGAAGGACATTCTTTGGGGGGGGGGGGGGGGAGTTGCGTTCATTATTACAAGACCTTGCTAATATTAATCCACTCATTTGCTCGTTGCGGCAGTCAAAAAGTCTTGCAACGTTTATATGTACTTTACGTCTATGTATCACGAAACTGATTTCTTTTTTCTCAGATTAGTGCCATTAATCTTAAAGTGTGCAACAGAACCGTAAAGCCTGTGACGCAATAGGAAAGCGCAGGCAATGGGAATAGGGAATAGAAGTATGGAACAGAAACCTAATGCCAAGACACCAATGATTCGCTGGCAATAGGAGTGCTGTCCAATCACCCGCTTTTTGAAACCACGTGACTGTCCCAGAGTCTCAACTGTGATTGGTCAGGTAGGTCAGGTACAGGGAATAGGGAACGGAAATCCAACGCGTCGGAAATTCTGTTCCTATTGCCTATTCCATATTCCATTGTGCGCCGATACGCGGTTTCTGGCAAGTTGAAATTTAGTTGTTTCTGTTGCCTGCGTTATTCCCTGTTCGCTATTGCCTGTGCTTTTCCATTGTGTGATAGGCTTCAGCCTTCTGCAGACTGTAGCTAGCGCGATGATAAAATGCGAACGCGGTTTCAAGTTTCTCTAAATAATGCGAGATCATCAAAAGGTGCGCGCGTACAACGCCGATGGAATAAACAACGTGGAAAATCAACTGCGGTAATCGGACGAAATTCGTTTGCATAAATGAAACAGCGATCCCGCACAATCCACGTGCGATACGCGATAACGAATCGGATCGGTAATTAGTCGCGCGCGATTAAAAAGAACGGACCCCGCCTGACGACGAGTTTACGTTAATGAGGCCTTCGGAGGATTCCCGGCGCCCGCCTCAAGGATTAATTGTTTCATCGGCTCTCGAGTTTTCTCTTACGTCGCCAGCAACGATCTCGGATAATCGACTGCGGCATTACAGATATCGCATGCTCCGACATGTAATCAATATAACAAATTAAAACTCGCCTCGTTTCCTCTTCCGTTTAGTATCTTTCTTTTTAAACGAAATACTTTCTCGATTAAACGAACGGAAACGGCGCACAAAATACACAATTTATTTTACACGTGGAACGCAAGTTAGTTGGCAACAATTCTCGTTCAATAGAAAATTATATTGTGTAATCGTAGAATCTTTACAGCCACCGAGGTCGGATTCGGACCTTTGATTCTATTTCTTCACCGTACAAAATCTGTTTTTACCAAGAAGCGGAATATGGAAGCGACCCCGAGTCGAAATTTTGGCCCTATGTTGAACCTTTAATTCTATTATGTACATAGTAGGACCTAAGACAGTAAAAGAGTTCGAACTGCGAGTACAAAATTTACCTCTACTTAAAAACCGATGGTGTCGGAAATTTCTGCTTTTGCCAATTTAGCATTAAGGTAGGTCCCTTTAAGTGGGGGCCAAAGTAAATTTTTAGAGTTAAAGATTCAAGGGAGGAGTAAAAAGAATATTACGTCATCAAAGTAGGTTGTTGCTGGTCTACGTAGGTGCGTGGATCAGCTAAGTGGGTGTAAATTATTCTTAAAAGTGTCAAAATAGTACCAAAACTTCGGGACGACTGTTCGAAAAACGCGCAACACGCGGGGAGCTCGGTGAAGCCTCGCTCCACGTCAAGTCGCGGTCGTCGGGAGGTCTGACAGCGCGAAGTCGAGCAACGAGACTACGCGATCCACCGAGACACAAATCGTCGTCGCGGTAGGCAATGGCCCCCATGTAATGTGTACGTACGATCGCTCTCGCAGCGCTCGATCGCGATCCACGACGGATTCACCGAGGTCCTCGAGGACTCGAGTAAGCGTGACTCTGTACGGAAAGCAGGGGTGGTCCAACTTGGCAGTTTTTTTTCTTGTTTATATATATATATAGATTTTTTTTTGTTATCTCCTCTGCGCGGTTTTCGCGCTCGCCCTCGTCGCGCGTTCGCCTGTGCGTCTCCGCGGGTGCGTGGCTTCCCGCCCGCCGGTCACGTTGCGTGCTCGTTGCGTGCGGCTCGTACGATCCGGACGAGGGTGAGCGGGCTGATCGATCGGTCGATCGACCCTCTTCCGCCGATCGGCTGAATAAGCGACGCGTCGACCGCTCTCTTTCTCTCTTGTGCGCTTATATCTCTCGCGTGTACACACGCACACACACGCATACACACGCGTACACACACACACGCATACAAACACACACGTGCGCACCGTGGTGACACCGCGGTGTGAAAATATCCGGTGGGTTTTGCGGAAGTGCGGGAGAGAAGGGAAATCATTTGCGGTTTCGCGTACGTCAGCACTTTCGAGCGCGTGATAATAGGAGGGTTTTGTAACGGGAGGGGGAAAGGGAGGAACGTGGAAAAATATATCGAGCGGGTGGAGGGTCGATCAGCGCGATCGTCGACGGCGCGGGGTTCCGTTCGCGCCTCGCCGGGCCTCGTCCTTGGAGAGAGACGCGCCCCGCTGAATCGCGCCCGTTACCCGCGGCTTCGTGCCACGTGGGAAGAGGGAGAAGTTTGTCGAACGAAAGAAACGGGGGTTCACCTCCTCCGGCGCGGCCGCTCTCGCCACTCGGTGCCGCGCGGGCGCGCGTTCACCCCGTCGATCGTCCAGGCCGCACTTTACTTTCCTACCGTTTTGAAAAGGTTGAACACCCCTGACTCGAGAGTTTTCTATTTGGCAGTTTATTTTCAAGTCCGTCTCGGCCCCCTACGAGAGACCCCTCGACGGATCTCAGCGTAAATTATTTTACGACTCGGTCGTAACGCGCGTGCGTGCGTGCGTGCGTGCATGCGCGCGCGCGCAAAGCGACTAACAGTAATTATCGTTAATTATTATTCTCATTAACCATAAGAAATATTTATCGTTTATTGTTACTATTATCGAAAGGCCGCAACAACGCTCTTCCGAGGACTGCGCGATCTCCTTTTGTCTCGTGACGCCGTCGGCTCGTCGCGCGTCCCTTCCACGCCCAAGGGTCCCTGCCTGTCGGTTTCGCCGGACGAGATCGAGCCGCGACCGCCGGCGGGCGACGCTCGCCGGCGATCGCCGCTCGGCGATCTCGATCGATAAGAGCTCGCGTAATTCGCGCGATCGGAGATCCACTCGACAGCGCGTGCTATCTTCGTCTCTTCCTTTCCCTTCTCGCCCCGCACCTACCTTCCCTCACGATCTAGAGGTGGCCTCCAAATCTCCGTCCAGCCTCGCGTCGCGCGCGCGCGTCGACTACCTACCGATTCCGCACTAGAAACGTTAATTAAGTCACTTAAACGAAATAACGCAGCCGTAACGGAGCGTGACGTCGGCGATCGGATCCTTGTTCCCATTCCTCTCGTGTTTCTCTCTTCGTCAATCCAGAAGCGTGTCCTCCGCTGGAGAACGACTATACGACGGCGTCCACCGTTGCCGCCGGAAGTCGATCCTCCCCTTCCCCCCTCCCCTCCCCCCCGTGGCCCTCCCTGCGAACGTCGCCGGTGGTCTCACCCTTGCTCGCCTCCCTTCGCGAGGGTACGTCGCGAAAAGGAACCGGGCGCGCACGAGCCGCCGGTGACACCCAGCTGCGAGGAATCCGCGAGAACGCGGTCCCCTTGTTCCCTCGGGAGGGCGCAAAGGGGGGCTAACGAGTCTCCGCGCGTCCCTCTTTCCTTCCGCCGCGCTCTCACCGCTTTCATCTCGACGTGCTCCGTAGCCACCTCCTCGAATCGTGCCGGACGTCGTTCCTGCGAAAGGGGAGAGAAGGCGCGAGTATAACGCGACTGTGTCTCACTATTGACTTCTGAGGGATTGACATTAGGGCGGGGGCGCGAGGAGGGGACCCCGTCATGTGCCGACTGATCGATTTTGGCGAGCTTACTTTGCCATTAAGCCCAGCCCGGGGCTTTTAGTTCCAGCGATTCGAAAGCTCCAAGTACGAACTTTCATCGAGATCTCTCTAATATATTCCGATAACTTGAAAATCTTTGGACCGGCGAACGGCGCCGTGCAGTCAAGCTCGGTTGCTGATTAAGAGAAATACCGAAGAGTAATCGGGCCGGAAATTTTCTGGCTCGGCGGAGACGCGAGAGAAATTACGTATAAAAATTAATTTGAACTTACACGGGATTTTCGTTCGGTGCATTTGTATGAAAAATGCAAGAGAAGCCGATGAGCAAGGACTCGTTAACGTTCCAGCCCACTCGACCGCAATTATGCGATTAAAACAGCGAACATTTCTGTACGTGGACTCTGTTAACTCATGAATATTAAAAACTCCCGTGATTTAATAGATAGTTATACAAGCGGGTAATAAATATTCTTTGTATACTAATCACATTTAGCTCGGAGCCATCGCACTATTTAAAGCCAATTTTCGATAATCAAGCAACGAGTGTTCGAATACTTGAAATCATGTAATCGAATGGTTGTATATCCGGGCTAATGCATAAATAATTGCGCTCCGGAGCGCGCTCCGGAGGTACCGACCGGCAATTAGCGCGACGAAATTGCGAGATAGAGACATTCGCGTTGGCGCGATTGGATATTTTCAGCGCGCGTGACGCCCGATGAGCCCGGGCTTGTTACACGGCGCTTGTTAACATTTCCACGCGGTATTAACTGCGTTATGATCATCTGGCCCGCGTCATTCGCACGTAATGATCGCGGCCTATCCGGTCCGTGCGGCACGAGATTTACATGCCGATTTCGGTATCTCGAGCGAATAACTAATGACGCGCGATTAGGTGAAATCGCGACTCTCGACAAGTAAAGCTACACAGTGGCTTGCGGCACGAGGAAGAGCTACTGTAAACAGGCGCAATTATGTGATAAAGTATACCCGAGTCGAAATTTTGTCCCTATGTTTGAACATTTAACTCTATCATACAGTAGAACCTAAGAGAGTAAGAGAGATCGAACTGCAAGTACGAAGTTTACTCCTACTTAAAAACTGATAGTGTCGGAAATTTCTACTTTTGCCAATTTAGCATTAAAGTAGGTCCTTTAAAGTAGGAGCTATTTTAGAATTAAAGATTCAAGGGAGGAGTAAAAATATATTATGTCATCAAAGTAGGTTACTGCTGGTCTACGTAGGCGTATAGAATGGTATAGATCAGCTAAGTAGGTGTAAATTGTCCTTAAAAGTGTCAAAATAGCACCAAAATTTCGACTCGGGTATATACAGTTTAGATTCCTTACCGAATATTCCAGGAGGCGCTATCCCTGGCATGTTTTGTGTATTTTTTCGGTTCGACCGGGGCAGTCTATTACTGGACGATTATGTGTGGCGCGCGACACAGTATCACCACCGTAGCCATAACCGTGAATAACGTGAAGACGAACAGGCAAAGCCTTGAATGCACAACAGAGAAATTTGGATATTAGTTACGCAAGTCGGGGTGCCGCGCTCTCCAAAAATCATTCAGTGAATTAGCTGAAAACAGTCAACTACAGTTTACAGTTACAAGTATACAACTGCTATTTTCTCTGGTACACTTATAACCGCAAATCAGTGACTATTCACTGGTTTCAGTGATAATCCACTGATTGACTTTTGGAGAGCAGTAATAGATTGAATAAATGGTGAAGGGATAAAATAGTTAAGTATCAAGGTTGGGAAAGTTACTTTATAAGTCGGAGTGTCTCGCTCTCTAAAAATCAATTAGTGAATTATCACAGTCAATTAGTTTACAGTTACAAGTATACCACTGACATTTTCTGTGGTATACTTATGACCGCAAATCAGTGACTATTCACTGGCTTCAGTGATAATCCACTGATTGACTTTTAGAGAGCAGTAATAGATCGGACAAATAGTGAAGAGATAAAATAGTAAAGTATCAAGATTGGGAAAGTTACTTTATAAAAGTATCTAGTTACAGTTACTCAAAAAGTTACGAATCGTTACTTTGCAGTTACTTTCTTGCAATGAAAATAAAAGTGTCAAATCTGCATTTGAATTGCGAAGCGTCGATAAAGGCGTTTATGCGCAAATGCAAGGCCTAATGCAATCTCCGTGGAGGTTTAAAAAATATATAAAGTAACTATTGATGTAACTAAGTTGAGTTACAGACGGAGAAAAAGTAACGAAGTTAAGTTAGAGTTAGCGCAAAAAAGTAACTGTAACTGTAATTTCGTAACAAGTAACGAATTTCTTCCCAACCCTGTAAAATATCTATTCCATAGTACTTGCAACAATCAATTCAAAATTGTAAAAGGGGATATTAAAGCGTACATATATATGCTACAATATTTCTCATTTCAAATATACGGGTTATTTGAAAAGGTCCCGGAATGAATTATAGATGGCCATCGCATACAGACGTCATACATTAAATGGGAAACCTTTTTCCACCTTTCTGTGAACACGTATACAGTTCCGATTCGTTCCATTAGATTCATTTTTTATTAATCTTTGCACGAACATATCTGCGTGATGTTTGAAAAATGAATAAATTCGAAGTATCGCCGTAATTACATCCGTTAATTAAAGTACGATTTCCTGTTGCATTCTTCTTGTTTGCTCGAACTTTCATCCATTCCCTGTTAATGAAATTCCTTGCCGAGAAGGGATTTTTAAGATTTTCAGTTTTCTTTTTGCATTACTGGAATGGAAGTTTTGTAATGGGACAATGAGCTTCCGGAAGCATAAGTGGCTCAAGTGCTCCGATACAAAAGGAGATTATATAAAAGAATAATTATAAAATGATACGAGCAGTTTCATTCAACTTTTCAAATGACCCTGTGTTACGTATTAATTCGAACGTATGAGTTCTAGTCGATATTATTCAACAGACCAATTTCCCATAATTCGGACTATTGAGCAAACAAGTTTTCGATGATCGAGCGTGATAAATGAGGTCCAAGTAAATGAAATTATCGAGTAAAGGAATTTTGAGCAAGAGCAGAAACGAGTAAATTCGAAACAATCACGTAATGGACGTGCCCGGCGAATCACGGCGGACCGAGTTTTTCTCGTGCGAGGAACGAGAATCTGAATTTCGAGCTCCGCTGTGAAAATCTGTCTCTTTGTCGGCGATTTTCCGCGAGAGAGGCGCTGGGCGCGCACGACTGAAAGATTTAAAACATCCAACCTGTCGACCACCATGGCGGCGAACTTCCAGTCGCTAATGACCTCGTCGTCCTCATCCGCCTTTTTCATGCGGCTCGTGATGAACTGCAATTCCTTGAGGATCGTGTGCAGTTCCTTTTGCATGCCGCTGAGAGGCAACGATGCCGAGGTCTCCTCGACCGTCGACGGCCTGGTCGACAGCGGTGTACCGTACGCCGACCTGCTGTAAAAGATCATGTAAATTATTACCCTTGAAAGTCACACTCTCTCAGGATCGGCGGGTCGTCAACAGACATTTTGCATGAGTCGTCGGAGAGCTCATGAAATTCCGACCTCTCAAAGCGTCCAGATTACTGTAATTATTTAACTCTCTTGCGAGAAAAATATATTTTCAAAAAAGACAATTTTATTCATTAAAAGTAGAGGAAAGTCCTCTGCTATGAGATAGGATTCTAATATGAGATAGCAGGTTTTCAATGTCGATATTCAATCACAAATCTTTTTCACAACGATTACACGATCTAACAATTCATTTTCCACTAAACAGATTTCACTCCGAGGGCAATAAATTCATGGTGGAACCAACAGATGATGCCTATTAATTTAGCGGAGACTCCGCTATTTCATGTCAGAAGCCTATCTTATAATACTTTCCTCTATTTATAAGTAACTGTCACATAATTATACAAAAGAAATTATTTTAACTATTAAGGTAGGGAGAAAGGGCCGTGCGAAATTATCCAATGTGAAACTTTTTTCCAATCAATTTATTAAAATATCCAAACGTTTCGATCCTTTTTCGGGTCATCCCCAGTAAAGCTGGGATTAAAAAAATAATACTAGAAATTTTTTAATTAAAAATAATAACACTGCTTGCTGTATTCCATGTATTCAAAAGTAATTCAATTATGCATCTTACAATCGCAAAAGCAGTTTTCGAAGTAGCGACAAAAAATTCAAAGAACACACAGCTCACGGGAAAACCACTGGGGTACACAGGGTTAAATCTTGATGCATAAGATAATGCAAAGTTCGCGCAAAGTCAAATGCGATAAGCGCTAAGTCTTACGTTCGGTGCGAGGCGACTAAATTGTTATGGCAATTTACACTTCGTTTTACTTGCGTCCTTTATTCTCTTTAGCGAGATGCTAATTGTGAACTGTATATATTTATATTTATGCTTTTGAAAGTTTTCATTTTCGCGTTGTATCATCTCGTAGACTCAATCGATTCATGGAAGATTAGAGTCTGGAATAAATGATTATGTTCCCCGCGTGAGGTGATACACTTGCAAGATATCATTTCGTGATCGAAAACCCGACGAACGTCCCAATGTTTTCTTAACAATATAAAGAATTGGAAAATATAAAAATTATCGCGCTCTGCGTTCGAATTGGATCACTATGTCACAGAACTCGATTATCGGATTCCCGCGACAGAGAGGGGCGAAGAAGAGACGAAGGATGAAACGGATTGCTCGCGGTGAAAATCATCCGGCAAACCAGAGGTGATTGTCGAAGGGAGAAAAAAAATGTTAGACTGGAATATTTTGTTAACGGTTCGACCGGGGAAGGAAACGGGAAAGGTCGCAAGGATCTCGTGGGAAAACACGGAAATCCGGGCTCGGTAGATTGAGGTAGATTCGGCGTTTATCGAGGTCCGCGAAAATCTCGATATTCGATTCCGGCGGCACGGCACAACCGTCGCGGCCGTTTACGCGACAGTCGACGGATTTCGGGCGAGTGGATCTCTCGTCCGTTCACAGTTATTTCAGAGCAAACGTGACGTATACCGTCCTGTAATCGCTCTGTGTGCGCGCAGCCCTGTGTCTTCGATTTTCCCCCGGTAGAGCTGTAAAATAGCGTTGAGCGCTGGTCGAACACGCGAACTGAATTACGTGCAGCAGGGTGTATTTACTCGGAAACACGTGTCCGGGCGCGTCTCGTTCATTCTCGATGCGCTCATTGCCGCCCGTTCGATCGCTCACAATGGATTATTATATGCGTTCACGCCCGGTTTTCTCTCTCATTGCTTTTTTTCGCGCAATGGGATTAAAATGTGACGCGGTTTTTGTTTCCAGCGGACAACATTCGCCCGTCGAACAACAGCTCTATTGTCGATGGGGGGAAAAAAGAGCGCTGCTAACCGAGAAAATGGATGTCAAGTCACCGCCGGGATTTTTGCCAAACGCAACGACCTGAAAAGATCGAATGGATGGAGGGACTCGCGGTACCTTATATAGCCCGAGGCAGGATTTGCGGCGCTGTTCCCATGGCGAAAATCATCGTCGATGTCTAAAACGTTCGCTAGTAAACTCTTACTGCTCCTCTCCTGCAGCTCCAGCTCCTTCATCCGATTACTCATGAGAATGGTCTTCTTTGTGATCTTCTTGCCCGGCCGATTCATGCGCAATATAAGGGGCAGCCATTGTAGAAACAGTTTTCTCACCTGCGTGAACATCGAATTATTGTCCCGTTAAACTTTGCAACTACATCGCATGTCGTATCGCCGCTCCGGCAAAAATTCCGCTCAACTTTATTTCCCCGAATCTCATAACGAGAGCAAAAAAAAAAACCGTTCAGAAATTGGAGAGGATAGAATTTTAAAACGGTGTCCGCGCCATATTTAAAGTTTTGCACTTTCAGGGGATTTACAATGCGCAGTTTAAGCTACACGAACACTTTGGGATAAGCGTTTCTCCAAGGGATGGCGAGTATTCCTTATTTGGAAAATTGCTGAAGTGAAAAAGTTACGGGAAATTCTCAAAAGTCACACGATATCCTTTAGTTATACTCTCTAAAAGTCTATCAGTAGTCTATCGCTGAAAGCAGTTACATGGTATACCACTGATATAATTCAGTGGTATACGTGTTCACTGAGAGAATTTTCTCTTACAATTTATCCTGAAAATCATGTAATCGCGGGACGACGCGGACGTGGCACTTCGGAGAATTTTATGTGAGTTTTTGGAAATTTTACTACATATTTTACTAGTAAAATTTATGGTAAAAATTTCAAAAAGCTCTCGTAAAGTTCTTCAAAATGCCACGTTGTCCCACGATTGCATGGTTTTCAGGGTAAATTTTAAGAAAAAATTCTCTCCCTCCGTGTACAACTGCGAATCATCATTCACCGTTTTCAGTGATAATCCACTGATTGACTTTTAGAGAGGGCACTACTTCCGTTTAGGATAACTTGCGACACAATGGCTTCTACGCCAGTCATACGTGACATACCTACGTATATTTTTACTCCTTCAACGACATTTAAAAAAACAATACAAATTCATAAAAAAAAAATATTTACTTGGCGATTCCAATTTTGACATTTTTTTTTAAATACTAAAACTCGATAGCCGAGTTGCATGTTTCTTTAGCGAAATAACACAAATCAAATTAAAAATTCTATGCAATGCATATCATATTGACATATTGTGCAAATATACACTACGGATGTTTTGTAAACGCGGTGTACTTGTTTGAATCCGGAGTATTCAAACAATCCACATGTGTTGACTCGCATGAAGAAACTTGCACTAACCAACCTGGGCACCGGGCGGGAGTACCAACGCCTCGAAGGCATTTAAAACTTCCAAGAAAGCGCCGTTTTCAGTGGCACTTATAACTACAGTTACACCGCGAAGCTCACCGTGCAAAACGGCATTGCTAACCATTACGCCAAGTATCCTTTGTACGCACAGATTTTAATTATTTCGCATTGTTTCGAACTCACCAAGTTCAGTCGCTTCTAATTTCCGTAACAATTTCCCGCTTCTTTAAGTAACGCGATTAGAAATATCAAGGCACGCCCTATTTCATTGCAATTATCTGAACATTTAGTTTGAAGTAATAACGTTTTCCCAAAATCTAACATGCTTGTACCAGCGTATTTTATTGTCGCGGTTATAAATTATATTATTGTAGAATCTCGAAATCGCTGCTTGTTCAATTATAGAGCGTAATAGAAGGCAATTAAATTTGTAACAATTTTGGTACAACATCGCTACAACAATGACGAGACCAAATGCAATCTCGGCTAATCCGTTTAGTTAAGCGGCTTATTCCGCTATGTATAATATCTAAAATGATTAACCTTTATGCGAGTGAAATATTTTACTTTACGTTCGGCCTGACTGCAGCTCTTGCAGAGTAAATTAAAAAGACCCGACTGTACGTAGGTGTAATCAATTTTCCTTCGAATCGGCGTATATATGACACGTAATTCATTCTACAAAGACTGCGCGAGCCATAAACAATTCAACGGACAAAAAACGCACAAAGTCACAGAGGAAGGCATAAATAACCGCGCCATTTTAATGACTACATTTATCAACGTTTATTAGCGTTTATTTATTATTTAGTAACGTTAATTCAGTCATTAGTGTTATTTGTATCATTCGAAATTACTTTGGTGACAAATTGCCGTTGTTTATTGCGTCATGAATAATACACGCTACATTTATCGCATTTATATATTATTTCATGCTGTTATTTATCATTAATTAGAGCTAGTTATTCGCGATATTATATTTTCTTACCCAATTTGGCATCACGTATCTGTCGGGCGATCTGTGATGATAGTTGAGCACCAGAACGGTCAGCACGACGCTGCTCGCCACCATGAACATGATGCAATTGAAGTATGATCCTGAATCGGGGTGTTCCCGAAAATCCCCCGAAGAAAGAATACAAAAAGAAGGCGATTAGTCACGGAAATGTGTCGTTCGACGCTGCTAGCAGCTCCCTCGTTGAGAATGAAAGATTATTCCGCCGGATTCTTTTAGCTCAGACCGTAATCGTCTTCGCTCGCGAACCTTCTTACTTGATATCCTCCCGTTCTCCGCGACATACATATTCAATAATCTTTCATTCGCTTATACGAGTGCTCGCGCGTTTCCGGTGCGCGCGGAGAGGCTCAAAAATTCAAACATCGGGAGAATATCCGTGCCTGAAATGTTTTAACGCGAGGCGCGCTTTAGCATGCATTCCAAAGGATAACGCCATTTTTCAAATGCAGTTTTCACGGATTTCCTGATATTATATTTATCGCGCAGGAGCGTGCTTTCAATTCGCCCGAGCCACTCGGCATTTTACAGTTATACCTTTTTCCCCCCCTCTATTCTCTGTAATTCTCGTATAGTGCATTAGCTCTTTTTATTTTCATCTCCCGTCGGAGAGGGCCTCCGGAATTTCTCCGTACCGGCAAATGTATATCAGTAAATAGTGCACAAAGAACATTCTCCAGATGCGGCGGGAATTCGAGCCTCTCCATGCGAGTGAAGACACACACGCCACGATGACACACTCGCAGTCACAACACACGGCGGTTCAGTGCCATCCGAATGGACCTGTCACGGTATCAACTCTTGCGACTCACACTCGAGGCGAAAGTTGAGAAAGAAATAATAGACAAGCGAAACAAGCGTATTATTATACAGTAATATAACATATAACAATCGAGACAGATAACACAGCTAGAGGTAAAAGCACACACACACACACGTATATGTATACACAAGTAAGAATAGCATACGCTACATCCAAAAATATCTATAGGGTACGACGAAGACGTCTACGAGATGTTCTTCAGGTGTCCCTTACGCGTTTTTCGACACTTCCGTGTCGTTTCGGCAGGCAATAGGAATTTGTCTAAGGCATTTGTCGCAAAGGTACCCGAAGGACGTTCTCACTTTTTTCAACGTTCTTCAGATACCTCCCAGCTAAGACTTTATACTTGGGTAGTTTCACTCATCTAGCGGGGCTAACATTTCCAAAATTTCTACAGGACACATCGATACGCGTAACCCAGTTCACCTGCTCAAGTTACGCCGCAGTCAGCGTTTCTCATTTCGCCAGTACAGTGAAGAGATAACTTACGTGCGTCAGTTTTCTGGTGTTAGATAAGCGAAAATAAGAAAATTGAGAACTAGAATGTACTTACTTGCGCGCGGAGTACGTGTACGAAAGGGAGGAGGCAATGGTGTGTTGCGTAGAGAAATTGCGACGGAGAGAGAAGACGCTTACACTATCATGCAGCTATCGAGGATGCAATTTTACCGAGAATGCACATAAAAGCCTTCTGTAACCATCTACAGTTTGTCATCGGCGCGCGAATCTAATAGTACTTAAACGTAAGGAGTACGCAGGGATGCATATCGTGAGAACGTTTAAGCTGCGGTTAAAACTACGCACTACGATCGGATTGGGATGTAATCTCTCGACTTTTATTATCGACGCGGCTACCTTGTCCATAAGTTTAATCGTCACGATTAACCCGGGGTTCCTTAAGAATGTAATTGTCTTGGAGCGTTGGGAATCTACTGTAATCGAAGTTTACGGTTTTGTACACGTATTGTATATGCGTCAGATGACGCTGGTGTTGATATATGCTTATTTTTATTTTTCCATTACTCTTATGTTATATAAATATATCGCGGTCACCATTGGGAGAAGCTCATCTCTTCTTTCTTCCATGACGAAAATAATCAATCCTATCAGTGCACAATTAAGCTGCACCTAACGTCAAGTCGAGCTTAAAATCTACTTGATGCTTCGTTAACGTCTCGTTAAACGTAAGAAACTTAAAATATTCCGGCGCCACGCTGTAAAACATTTTAATATCCCAACTGCCCGCTTTCACGTTGTCTTTTTTTTCCCAAGCAAATAACCAAGCCTCTTATAAAGCGGAGCAACGTTGTTTCTCGCGCGGACGCGAAACGTTTTTCGCATATTACAGATTTTCGAGCGATACATTTTCATTTGCTTCTTCCTGGTTGTGTACGGACGCAGTTGAATGTTTATCCGCCTTCCTGTGACTGCGAAAACTCGCTCGTAACTCTAATTACGGGTCCCCGGACTTCCTCCCCCCCCGCCCCTAAATTATTAGCCATAGCTTGGCGAGCGCATCTGAAATACTGCGTTAATGCAGGGACTCGCGAATGCCCGCGAATTGAGACGCGCGCGAAAATAAAAAGAAGGAACGGGAGAGTTTCAGTGGCGGCGAATGAAATGCTAAAAGGGTTGCCTTTTTAACTTCTCGTGTTATCTCAGCGGCTATGTTTAACGGCTCCATAAAGCCCGGCACGAGCGTCTTCGGGCGCCGTGATTAATCGCCGTGTACGAAAGCGGCTATCTCCTCTCGTGCCTTTATTAATGGATCCTTAAGACTCGCCTGCCATTACGTACCAGCTGTATATTTATGACGTTTCGAGTTACTTAATCCTTCTATTGATCGTTCGCCCTGGAAATGCGATCCATCGCAAAATCGCTTGATTGATTCGCAGGAGCGCAGGCTGGATGAGATGTAGGGAATTAAAATCTTAAAGGCAAAAATATCAAGTACCTTTATCTAACGCAGTGATAAGTTATCTTCGTTAAATTTAAAGCTGAGATACATCATTATCTAGAATTCAGTATGAAGATTGAGGGTAGAAGATTCTTCTGTTTGGCGAATGACGTTTCAACTAGTTTTATTAAATTTGTTCTACAATTAGAGGAATCTTCCCCCTCCCTCTCTCTCTCTCTCTCTCTCTCCCTGTTCGTTGATAACTGCTTGATGCATGTTTATTGATTAAAACTTTCTTTGGTTTCATAAACAATTTTGTTTTTCACGAGTATTAAATCAAATACTGCATTTTCCTGAATTCTACGCGACATGGCGCTTTTTACATTAAATGCAGCACGAAGAAAATATATTTCGGTGAAACTGCTGGTACGTGCACCGTCATAGCTAGCGATATTTATTTCAAATATTTGTTTCATGCGCACGTGGGCAAATATGAGATGGCGGACAAAAATTACGTGTAATGCGAAGCGTGAAAAGCATTTCGTTTCTAGCTTTATTAACAGGTTCATCCAGTTATCCGATTCGGTTGTGGCAGGTCCGAAAAATCTTCGCAAAATACAATTCGACTTTGGCTTCGTGTACGCTTTATTTCAGCTGTCATATGCTCCGATTTAATTATATCCGATGAAATAGCTGACGTCGTCGAATTTCCAACTGACAGATAGGTCGTAATTTAAATTATTCCAGCGAATTAATTAGTTATTACATGCGTTGCAACGCCGGGCCGGTTAATGTGATGGTTAATGCAGAATTTACGAATCATTGTAATGAACGTCGATGCTTCGTCGATCTACGAAATAATTTGGTGAGAAAACAAACAATAACGGCGGGTGATTGATGAGTTGAAGAATCGCGTTTTTACGTTATAATAAATCGTAATGGGAAAACGGCGAAAATCTGGCGCGGATTTTATGTTACAGCTCAATTAAATAAACAATTATTTTCCGGGAATTATCAGTTCGAGTTACAAAATAATATGTTATTGAAGGAATTAAAAAAAAATACAATATGAAATAAAATGTGAAAGATATACTTCGTTTCAACGTCCATCTGACACGGTCTTTAATTGCGGTTTAGAATTACGGGGCGTTAAGAGTTTTACAAGCCGAATAACGTTGCTATTGAAGAGACGCACGAGTGGCAATTTAAATTCCTCTCATTTTTTACAACTTTTAAGTTCATTTCCACGAATGTATATATAAGGGTGTATGCACACGTATATATACATACATACAAACGCTACTTTGTCGAGGGAATTCCGTACCATTCACGATGCTATTCACATTATCAGTGATACTGTACTTCTCAAGAGTTCGCGAAGCTGTTTAACAAGAAATCTGCGGTTTTAATAAGAGCGTTTTAAGTTTTAAACAGATCTGTTTTGAATATAATTGAAAAAAAAGTCCCTACTTGATTTACCCCAGTTCCAACGTATTCGCGGATATTTTGCGTACCAACTTCTATTTAACGTACCTAACACTCGTATCGTAATAAAGTGATAGAAGAGAGATTGTTATATATGTGATATTGTATAATTTATATGCGGAATAATGCAAGTATCGGATTAATATTGGATTTATATTAATATCGGATATTACTCTTCTGTATAAGGTAACAAAGATTGTCGACTCGCCGAAGAATTAATTATCGTCCTGTTCATACTTGCGCAAACGATCGATGGTGAATAATTTTCGATAAGATGTGTTGCTTGTAGCACTTTCCGCACTGCCGTTTTGCAGCGCTGCCGTTAAGTACTCCGAATGCAGTGTACTCGCGCGAGCTAATTAATTTCGTTATCGACGCTCGTGTTGCCTTTTTTTCCGATTCGGTAAACCAGTCCAAGGCTCTCGTTTCGTTTCCCGGATGCATTTCCTTTCGTCGAAAGCGCTCTTTTTCTATCCCTTAATTACTTCGAGCGACTTGTCGACGAAGTAATTCGTTCGTTATACATCTCTCTCCCTACCCCCTCTTTCTCTCTCTCTCTCTATGCGTGTGCCTTGTCAAATTCCATCCATTACCTTTTTACTATGAGCTTTACATTCCCGTTCTGCGCGTCCAGCTTTACTGCTTTACTCAATTTCCGCATTTACGTACGACTTGCGAAACTGGCCCTTGGTTACTCGGAACGACCGGTTTTATTGACACTACGGACGCTCACCCGCATTTTATTTCGCTCTTCGACGAGCATTATCTTACCCGCGCTATCGCGCGAGCGTGCCCGAACTCATCTTGTTAGACGTGAATTAACAATAGAAGTGATTGACTGCTTCGTAGATCGCGCGTCTGCGTTTCATGTCCCGTCA